AGATGGATCCAGGTCCAGTTGTAACCTCTAAAATGAAAAATGTCCACATATTTGGGTTGTATCTTTTTAACACTAGAATTGACAAAAGATTAATGTAAACAATAAATGAAAGAAATTTACCACAGAATCAATAAATAAAAAAAACATTTCACATGTATTAGAAAAGAAAATACATTTTTGTTTTTAAAGTTAATTTTTGATTACTTAGACTGATTTGTGGTTTTTTTTTTTTTGTTGTTGTTGTTTTTTTGTTTTGTTTTTTTGACTTCAAACAATTTCTTTACCTAAATATTTTAAGCATGCTTTGTGGGGGTCCAGACTGCCTGAATATCTTGAATCTTACCAAACATTGATTTAGAATTTTGCAAAATTCTAATCTTAAACTTCTTTCCTGAGCCCACTATGAATTTTTGAGAATTTTCAAAATAATCACACAATAAACTAAATATGATTTTAAAATGAAATTAAAGACAGAAATTAATTATACATCTAATCAGAAACCAATTATAACTAATTTGACTAATTTATTAATCTTTTTGTCAATACTATTTTCACTAGTGCTTTTTAGCATTCCATATCTCTACAGACTTATCAACGCTTTCAAACCTGCGAACCATTATAGTTATCTATGGATCATGACAAAATAAAAGTACTACATTTATTATAAAGATTAATAAGAGTGAAAAATGTCTTCAGGAATTTTTTTGTACTCAATTCATTTTTACTATGGAAAAGGTATACATTGATCCCCCCTCCCCAAAGCAGATATTGTAACCTTTCATGAAATAAACTGTTTTGTCTTTATTAGATTCTAAATTTTCGTCCTTCATATAAACTAAAGTTTGTATATATACATGTCCTCCAAGTTGGAGTCTCACCTTGGTTATGAACATATGGCAATTGATTCCATTAGGGAACCTTCCACTCTGCTCAGCAATGCCATGTTATCATTGCACTGGATGCATGTGTAGCTATGGAGTCCAGGGCTAGATGGAGTGCTATGGAGTTTGTGTTTGATGGTACAAACACACAGATAGAAATTTTTTTTAAAATTGTTAACTGCTCAGAAAAGCAATCAATGCTTACAATAAACAAACTCAGAAGTAATGAAAACCAATGTTAAATTTTGACTATAAAATCCATTGTACCTGATATATGAAATTTACTTCTGATTGTCTCTCCCAGAAATTAAAAAGAAAATCTGAATTTCCAGTAAATTCTTGGCCACATTTAAGGAGATATAGTTCTGATTACTGAAATTCTCAACAGTTCAAAAAGTATTAAAGACAGCTCTGCTGGCATTGTTTTACAGGTTGAATGCCAAAAAATCAACTTTCTTTAATCATTCTATATGGTGAGCTAACCTATTGTCAGAAGGATCCTTTTAATAACTGCACATTACTGCACTTTATACATTATATCCATTTTACAAGCACATGAATATAGTTACTATTAAGAGTTGAAAGATTGTATATATTATAATGCTACGAAGTTGCCAAGAAATTCAAAGCCTTTTTGGATTCAAACACTAGCTAAGAGTTTGGCAGTTATACAGGCTGTGAACTTTACCTTATATGTGGAGGTCAGTGATAAATTTCTTGTAGACATTCAAGTATCCATTAATACATTATGCTTAGATTTGCATATACTCAATAAAGGTAAAATTAATTAGTATAACATATAACATATTTCCCACTAATTAAGGCATATTTTCAAATCATTGGGTTACCAGTAAAAGATTAAAAGTTGAACACATCTGTTTGCCTCTGGAATTAAACATATATGATTATAAATGATTAAATTATGATTACAAATCAAAATATTAAAAAAAATGTAAATATTAGGTTGGTGCAAAAATAATGACGTAATAATGTCGTTTTTTGACGTATTTTTTAACGTCAAAAAATGACATTATTACGTCATTATTTTTGCACCAACCTAATATGATTCATCAGTTGTTTTTGTTATTTAAGTATTACTTAACAAGTATTAGCATATTTAATACTTGAATATGTTAAATGAAAGGAAATGCAGTGTGAATGTGTATATGGGCATTTGGCTCAAATGTTTGCTTTCTAACCATAAGATTCTGGTTCAAATCTCACCATAGACAATTTGTCAGAGAGTTGACTTGATGTTATTGGCCTAGATAGGTGATCCCAGCAATAGCCACAATTTGAAAATGTCTGAAAACCATACCATAGATGGAACTATTCAGAAGCTTTTGAGGGTTGTGCTAGCATGAAATCATAACTCTTATGATGAGTTACGATTTCATGTTAGGGTTTGAGTTTATTGGTCTTGTTGAAACTGTTGATCACACCAGATTATGCACTCTCTCTCAGAAACTGTAACTAATGTTTACGTAGTTGCAGTATAAACCATAGGTGTTCTCTGGGCCTTGAACAAACACAAATGCACCTGAGCAAGTGTTTACAACAGGAATTGATTAGTATTACCTGTTCTTTTTTAGATACGCTTTTTAAAACTGAAATTAAAAACTATTTTAAGCATTTTAATATATAATCTAAAGTGTACTCGCTAGATAAAACCATATTTGTAAAAATAAAATGAATTAATTTTCTTTGTTTAGAAGAATTTTATAGGCAGAATAGTAACAAACACTCACTGAACACTAGTGGCTAAAAAAGAAAAAAACTTTTACTTTGGGTTTTAAAAAAAAATGACTTGCAGTTTTGAAAATTATACACATTTTAAAACTGAGATTAAAACTTACTTTATTTTTTTTAATATCTAATTTTAGGTGTATTATTTGCTAGATAGAAACATAATTTTATTTATAGAAAACAAACATTTTTTTTTTATTTTACACTTAGAGACTTGCATATCTGGAAATATACACAATTTATAAAGTAAAAACTATTTTAATTGTTCTTAATTTAGGTGCATTCCCTAGATAAAAAACAAATTCATTTATAAAAAAAAAAAATATCTTTATTCCTTTTTCCTGTTTACAACAACTTTATTTCGTGATTGGCATACTGGCTTACTAGAAAAGAATACCCTTCCTTACAAAAATTCCAACTTAATAAAATTTAACATTAAGGAAACGAAACTGACAACTATGTTTTTAAAATTTTTACTCACTATTTTGTTAACTTTACCACAAAGAGTTTTTTTTTTTTTAAACTGAAACAAATAGACTTCAGACATCATGTATTTCCTTTTTTTTCTTCATTCCTTTTGTAAAAAAATAGATTTCACATTTATTTCCTAAAACTAGTCAATTAAATGTTTTTAACATATTTTTGTTCAATCTTTTTCTCTCACAATGATATAAATGTTGATAAAATTAAATTTTATCAACATTAGAAAGTATTTTTAATAGTGTTTCTTTGGATATGGTCACTCGGTAGTGATAGCACTTAAAAAAAAAAAAAATGAGTGATTTCAGTTTCATAAAAAATTTTGATGCAGTTTCACGGTGTGAAGATGAAAGCAAAAAAGTCAGTTTTTATATATATATCAGACAAATGTCAAAATGGAGAAGTCTTATGTGACATATTTCATCCTTCAAAAGTACTTCAGATTATAAAATGATTTTATAGATCAGATATATGTAGGTTGTGATGACAAAATACTAACAAATGTCTCTTAAGAGAAATACTGAAAATGCAGGTACATCATTTTAATTTTTTAATTTCTGACATACAATGTCACTAGGTGCACAACCTACCCAACCTCATTCAGCTTCCTACTGCTTCTGTTTTGGCTTTTATTACTACTGTTTTTAAATACTCCATATTATAAGCAGTAGTATTTTTTTTGTTTTAAGAAAAGCAGCATGCTGTATGATGAACCTGTACATTAATATACCATAGAAGACCTGGAAATTAGTATATTTTTTAATAAATTTTCACTTTAATAAATTCATCTCTTAAAACAAAATTCTTTAACTTGAAATTATGGTCAGTGATTAGAAGGAATGACTAATGCATTGTGTTGTTTTGCAAAATATTCTTTTTGTGTTCATATACTCCTTGATTTAAATTCTAGACGTTCCACATGTATTTTTGGTGATATTTATTACAGTCTATAGAATAAATTCCTGCTTCAGTATTTTTGGTTGATATTATTTTGTTTTGTATTAATTAAACCTTTTATTGTTTTTGAACTTGTAACAAATTTTATATTAAGTTTAGATGAATTCTTTTCAATTGTAGTTATTGAATTGATCAAAAACATTATGTACCTATTTTTATTAAGATTATTTATATGTATTTTCCTAATTTTATGAATCTGGTGAGCTTTACAATGAGCATTATATGAAATAATTAAGATATTGGAGTTTATAAGTATTTTCACTGTATTTCTCTTCATCATGTAAATATTGAAGGCTACCAATGTTAAGTACTCTAAGTCAATAATTATTCCAGATCATATTTTGTTGTTACTGTGTCAATAGTTTGAGAATATTTTTTTTATTTGTTGATTTTTTTTTTTTTTTTTATAAACACTTGATTTTAGATATTATCAGTATAGTTTAACATGATAGTGAGAAAAAGTAATCTATTCTTTTCCTTTGTTTCATAAGTAAATTCTATTGTATATTTGTTATTTAGTTTTTTACAAGATCAGGTATTGTGGAGATATATTAATAAAGCATCATCAATATAAATATATTGATTGTTTAGATAAAGCATTTTGGAAAGGTGCAATCTCTAGAAGGTGAAACTAATTAAGAAATTAATTTATTACGGTGAAAATGTATAAAAAGTGCACTAATTTCTAAGTCTTCCACAGTAAATTTATGTCTGGGTTCAAACAGCATGTCACCTTTCCTAACAAAGTTATTGGTATTACAATGTGGGATAGTTAAAAACAGTTGCAATAAGCTGAATGAGATTGGCTAGATTGTACATCTAGACACATCACATGTTAAAAATTTAAAGGTAAGTGTCCCACATATATAGGATTTCATCAATAATAAAAACATAGTCTGACAAAGTCCTTTTTTAAAGACAAAATAGGCTTACATCCACATCACATTGAAATACCGGTTCCCATATGATCACCAAAGTTAAGCAACATCGAGCCTGGTCAGTATCTAGATAGGTGATTGTTTGAGAATATGAAGTGCTGTAAGCTTGGATATGCAGTTGGTGTAATGGATAATGGCTCAGAATTTTTAATAGGAAAGCTTTGTTCCAATTCTTATTGGTTTTGTTATATTCCCTTATGTGCAAATACCCTTAGGAAATGTATAAATCCACTTCATCTTCCCCAGTTAATAAAACCATTATTATCTCAAAAAATACTTATTACAATCTAAAAATATTTTGTGGCTTTAAATAACCTGCAAAAGTTTAATAAGCCATAGAATATGAATGAATGAATCAATCAATTAATAAAGATGAAATTCAGCATATAGGATCTTTTGCATTTTATCATTCATCATATATAAAACCTCTAAACAAAAATAATTTTTGTTAATGTAGAGTAGGAAGAAAGAAGATAATGAAAGAAAATGAAAATTCATATTAAACAAGAACAGAAACCATTGTACCATCTTGAAAATCATATTTACATAAGGTAAAACAGCTATCATGTAATTGCCAATATATCATCTAAGGTCAGCACATTGTTACTTTCAATCTGACTAATTAAAGCACTGAAGTTAGATATGTTGGGTATTAGTAAAAAAAAAACAAAAAAAACAGATGATTTGGAAAAAATAACTTTTAAAAAACATCATGGCATGTTGAGTTTTTAGAGTGACTTGAGAAAAATAAACAAATCAAAATTCATAACAGTATTTTATTTCAAATTATATATAAAAGATATTATTAGTAGTATCAATAATATAATTAATTCCCCCACAAATGTATACTGTATATTTTGACAGCCATTTTTCCATGATACAAGTTACATTGAATTGATTGGCAAATTGATTTTACTTCTGCAAAAAATATAACATCAAAACTTATTGGTGGTCAACCAAATTTTCCAAGATCAGGAATTTGTTGTGTAGGTTGATGTTAAATTTTGACATTATGATGTTCGCATACACAATAGCATTTAAGTGAGACATTTTGAAAGCTAAAGCATGTAGATTTTAAATCCCAATGCTCTGACTAAAGAAAACCACATCTAACTGTGTTTTTTCTTTTTCTTTTAATATTGTGGATTTTTGTGTTTTTAAATTTTATATAGTTTTGCCTTTATTTAAAGCTATTTTATTCCAATGACTTTTTTAGCTTTTACCTATGAAGCTGTATAGTTCCTCTTTTTCTCTTGTTAATCCCCATTTGCCATTGTTATAAAGTAGATTGTATTTTTTTTTTATAATGGTTTTGTATAGTTTTAGTCTCATTTTCATTTGGATTAATATTTTCTTTTTCCATGTTTCAATCCGAATTTGATGATGTTTCTCTCATTTTATAACACATCTTCTTAAAATGGCATGTTCTGTATTTTCTTCATTGACTCGTAATAGGTTTTGGTCTTTCAGAATTGACGTCTTTTATCTTTTCTATAACTGATAACATTAACATTCCTAATGACTAATAATGGTCAAAAGTACTTGAGATTTTCTTCATAAATTTGATTTGAATTTGTGACAGTTTATAGACAGACTGGAAAAATAAAATTAAAATATTTAACCAATGTGATTTCAATATAATATATCTGAATCAATTATTATCAAATAAGTATAATTTATATAAATATATGAAAATATATGTCATAGGCATCTGTTTATCTCACAAGATAATGGTAGTGCCCTGTTTGGTCAAAATTCACTCCTTTGGTGGAGAGACTAGATTGACTTTTCCAGGACTCAGGCCTGGGCAATGGTATATGGAGGCCATGTATTACCCAGACCACAATGGCCTCACTTCCAGCCTTAGCAACAAGGCATTAAATTTGGGGCCAGTTTGGCTGCAGGAGTTGCTGGAAGTTTGTGAATGTTGAGAGTCAACTGCCTTTGGGGCTCCACTCTGGATTTTCTGTCTGGATTTACTTTCATTGCTTGTTTCATATTTGGATACAGCTACAGTGCAGCAGAGGTTTAAAAATCAGTGTTTTCCTTCCTGTATATAGAAGATTACATTCAAGCATGAAATAGACTGTGTTCACTTCAGTGTCCACTTTTATATTTACATATGCTCTATCTCTGATATTTTACCCATAAATATAGTATACATTAAAACTATATATTTATCATATATATAACAATATATATTTTTATATATTGAACAGTGCTGGAGAAATTGTATGACAAAGTGGAAAATGTTTATGTGTGCTGCACTTTGTCTGATGAAGTTGTAAAAGGATGAAGTGCATCACAGGTAAACTTTTCCACTTTTGTCATATATATATATATATATATATATATATATATATATATATATATTTTTTAGTTTTTATGTTTTTTTTTTTATAGATACAAATATTTAAGTAAATGCTCTGTTTACAGAGCATTTACTTAAATATTTGTATCTATAAAAAGAATGTATAAACATAAAAATGTCTTTAAAATAATTGTCGGACTTTGTCCATTTCATAATGTGTGACGTCATATATATATATATATATATATATATACACACACACCTACACACAGAGAGTGCAATGGATAAATTGTCATCTAAATGATGCAAAAATGAAAATAATACTGACATCTCAATATAGATAGAGAAAGGTTTTTCGTGGAGTCAAGTATAAATCATCAAACAATGTAGACATGTTCCCTGTCTTGTCTAGTTCTGCTCTCCAATGGGTGAGAGAGCAACCCAACTGGCTAGTCAGAAATGTAAATGTAAATGATAAGTTTAAAATTCCCTTTGTTGAAGTTCTTTATCTCTGAGCCAAAACAACTAGCAATCACTGGCTGTGAGAAGAGAGAAAAGATACAACATTGTATTATTGGTGCAGTGACCAAGAGATCCCCAACATGTGGGGAAGGGCTATGCAACAATAAGTGGGCTTTGAATTTTTTTTTTCTCCATTTATAACCCCTCTTCATGCCACCTATATCTGATGGTATAACCACATTTAGCAGTCCAGTCCTCAGGATCTTAGGACTACATTTTAACCACAGGACTAATACTGACACTGGTCCAAGATGGCTGTTGGTTACTGGCTCCTTTGATCCACAATCCGTCTGCTCACATTGTGTTCTTGATCTCAGCGCAATGAAAGATCGAATGTTATATGAATTGAAGCACTGTGTTGAGCCATGTTGGAAGCCATATTAAGAAAAGAAATATCTTCACAAACAGAAATAAAAATGAAAGAATTGTTGGGTTAATCTTCACTTGGTTTATATTGTTCTTGGTACAACAAAAATTAACCCTTCCTGCATAAATCATTATAGGACACTGAGCCTCATCTAAAATTCTGGAGGAGCTGGGTTGAAAGTTCTTCAGAGTCAGATTTGGTGGCAGCTGATTCCTGAGGCACTTGGAGGGAATTTTCGTGCATGTCCTCGAGCTCTCAAATGCTTATATGCACTTAGGCCCAAAACTGTCATGGGGCCACTGGTTCTGGGGATTCAGTGATTCACCAATTTTCACAATAATTCCAACAAAAGTTCTTTGTTCCCTATTCCTGCTTCCTTAATCAACTTTCCAAATTTGGAAAATTATCCACCTTCTTCACAGGGATTGCTCCTTTCCTCAACTCCAACTTACTTCACTTTACATTTCATACCATAACTTCATACAGGTGGTGTTAAATTCTCCTTCTTTTTTCTACTCTGTTAGCATTGAACCTCAGCCTACTTCCCAGGCCAGACATAACTGTGTGACAAATCTACTTTTTAAAGCATATGGGTGAAAGGGCAGGGTTTTATTCTTGTCATTAATTTTAATTCTCTGATTTCTTTCTATGTCCCTGGACTTATCTCTGTCCAGTGAAAATAAAAACCAGACCACTCTCTTGCCCACCAATGACAGTACTTGTTTTCATAAACTCCTGTTTTAATTGTATATTCAACCTGTAAGAAAAGTTTGTTCTCATTTAACCTTCTGAGTGAGAGATGAAATTATTTCTTAATTTGTTTTACCTGCATGCCAGAGTCTCAATAAATAATAAAAAAAAAAAAAAAAAAAAAACCTATTGGGGCATTATTTCAATTCATAGGGGTAAGACAATCTAGATGGCCCCTTTTCACTTCTTATCTCCAGGGAAAATGTCTTCCACTCTCTCTCTATCTTCCAGCTTATAATCCATATTAACTATTTCATAGCCTTCCAGTTTATACTTAACATTAACCACTTCATGGCCTCAGTGTCATACATTAGCATAAAATTATGAAAACACAAACTGCTTTACTTTGGCTTGGAAGTTCAACTTGACAAGTTGATAGATAGACACCAGGAACAGTGTAGATATTAGTCAGGATTTATATTTTCTACTACATTTTGCTTTTGTAAATAAAATGTGTTTCATTTTACATGGAATTTCTATTTGTGCTTATGTGGGCTGAAATTTTTTTTGCACCAATGGGCCACAAGGAAAAAAAGGTTAAACACTGCTCTAGACAACACATTCAGACAATGCCCTTTCATATTTGCTGGTACTATAGCTTCTGCAAAAAATTAGAGAGAAGAATAAATATTGAAAAGAAAGGGATAATGGACATGATCAATCATATTAAAAATTGAAAATATAAATATTGTCATAAATGAGCAAACCTCTAAAGATGCAAAGTTGGATTGAAATATTGTTTTTATCCAAATTTTTTTCTCCCCGAGAGGAAAATGTATTTGTAGCTCAAAATTTATTGATTAGTTTTTGAGAATTTGAATTAAACAAGAAGCACCACAAGTGGGCTGAAGAATCTTAAACAGAATCTTGTTTAGTGTTTACCACTTCCTTATTCTCAAACAATTCTCTGCATAAGAAGAGAAAAAAAAATCTGTGATTAAAAAAAACCTTGATTCTTTTTCATCATTTTATGCCAAATGTAATGTTGACTGGTTTTGAGAAAATCAACAAGAGAACTAGAATAGCAATTAGTTGAATTAAAAGCTGCTTATCTCAGTTGATTCAAGAGAACATCGTGGAGTGGGAGGTGTCCAGTTCATCTTGTGATGTGAAACCAATAAAAACTGGTGCTTTTGTGTGTGTGTTGAATCAATA